GCTATGAGTCAGGGCTGACTCGACGGCACATAACAACAACAACAACAACAACAAATAGAATGTGCAGTTTAAAACTTCTCAAAATAATAGAACATAGCAATTGAAGATCTTTTGAAAAATACACTAAAATTTATAGTGCATCCTCTTCTTATACAAGGTTAAATTATTTCTGAAAATTAAAATATTGACTGTGGTTACCCTAAAATTAAGTGTTATTTTTTTTCTTCTTTTTAAATACACATGTACTAATGTTGTTGTTTTTATTGTTATGTGCCATCGAGTTAGACCCGACCCATAGCAACCCCTCCTTGGGTTTCCGAGGTGGTGTCACTACAAAAGTAGGTTGCCCAACCTTCCTTCCGAGGAATGGCTAGTGGGTTTGAACCTCCAGCCTTCTGGTTAGCAGTCAAGTGCCTTAGGCACTACACTAATTTTGTCTGCCAACATATGTATGGTCATAGGTATATTCCCATTTGCCTAGCCACACCTGTCTACCAATGTATCCACCAATAGATTAGTGTATGCTGTTACTAATAAGGCAGTTTTATGTCTGTAGTAGTATTTACCTTTGTTGTCTGTACCTCTCGGACACCTCTCCATGTCTTCCTTTTCCTTAGTGATATTGTGTGAGTCACACACTTTTTTTTTTATATTGATTTTTCCCTTTGCCCATATCAAACCTGTCCCTTAATTATACCTGTTTTCCTTCCCACCCTGTGTAATTCTTTCCTTGACTTTTTACAATAATTGACTCATATAATATTTGTCCTTCTGTGATTAACTTATTTCACTCAGCATAATGTCCTCCTAGTTCATCCACGTTATGAGGTGATTCGCTGATTCTTCATTATTCTTTAATGTTGTGTAGTATTCCATTGTGTGTATGTACCATAGTTGGTTATCCATTCATCTGTCATTGGGCACTTAGGTTGTTTCCATCTCTTTGCTATTGTAAATAGTGCTGCTGTGAACATAGTTGTGCATATATCTATTCATGTCCTGGATCTCACCTCTTAAGATATATTCCTAGTAATGACATTGCTGGATCACAGTATTTCTGTTTCCAACTTTTTAAGGAAGTGTCATACTGTTTTCCACAGTGCTTATACCACTTTACAGTACCAATGGGAATCTGATTTTTTTTTTATTGTAAAAGAGCAATATAGGGCTTTTAGTCTTTTTTACTTTTAAAAGTAAGTTATAATTTGCATACAGAACAAAATTACCCTTCTGATACTTGTGGTTATGGAAATATTATCTATCTGGACTGTACCAATTGCAGTAACCTGGTAGTGATATTACACTACAGTTTTATAAGATGCTACCATTGGGAAACTGGGTTAAGGGTAAACAGTATCTCTGTATTATTTCCTATAACTGCATAAAAATCTACAATTGTCTCAAAATAAAGCATTTAATTTTTAAAAGTTCAACTTTCTTTTTGTATAGTTCTGCGATTTTTCACAACACAGTCTTGTAACCACTACAAAAATGAAGATATAGACTAGATTGATCACCTACAAAAATTCCCCCAGTATAATTCAGTTACCCCCATTCAGCCATTAATCTGCTTCTCCTATATAGTTTTGTCTTTTCTACAAGGTAATATTTATAGAACTATATAGGATTTAGCCTTTTGAGTCCAGCTTAATTTATTTAACATAGTGAATTTCATATTCATCCATGTAGTTGTATGTAATAATTTGTTTCTTTTTATTGCTGAGTAGAATTTCATTTTATCATAGTACCACAGTTTGTGATCCATTCCCCAATTAAGGGGCACCTTGGTGGTTTTCCATTTTGGGTAATGAATAGACCTGCTATAAACACCTGTGTATAGGTTTTAATGTGAACATACTTTATTTCACATGAGTAAGTAAATACCTAAAAAAATACGATTATTTGGTCATATGATAAGTGTATGTTTAATTTAATAGGAAACCTCCAAACTTTCCCCAAGTTTCCAAAGTACCATTTATATTCCCACCAGCAATGTATGAGACCTCTCGTTGCTCAGCGTCCTTGCCAATATGGGTATCATCAGTGTTTTTAATGTTAGCTATTCTAATAGACATATAAGGAGCTCTGGTGGAGTAGTGCCTAAAGCATTTGACTGCTAACCAGAAGGGTGGCAGTTCAAACCCACCAGCCACTCCTTGGAAGGAAGATTGGGCAATCTACTTCTGTAGTGATACTGTCTCAGAAACCCAAGGAGGGGTCGCTGGCATATCACTGTAGTTTTAACTTTCATTTTAACTAATCGTATATGAATCTTTTTATATACTTATTTCCCATCCATATATTTTTTTTGGAGAAGAGCCCATTCAGATATATTCACCATTTTTGAAAAATTGAATTGTTTTCTTATTATTGAATTTTGAGCTTTCTATGTAGACTCTGTATACAATTGCTTTATCAGATATGTAATTTGCAAACATTTTATCCCAGTCTGTAGCTTCTTTTTTATTTCTTCACAGTATCTTTTTAATTACGGTTTATTTTTATCAAGTTCAGTTTATCAAATTTTTCCTTTTATGTATTTTATGCTTTTGATGCTGTATCTAATAAATCTTTGCCAGATGAAGGTCTGAAATAGTCTATCATATATTTTTTTTGGAAATTTTAAAGCTTTAGCTTTTACATTTAAGTCTATAATCCATTTTGTGTTAATGTTTTCTTATCATATATGGGTGGATTTTTTTAATAAAAACAGTCCTGTTATTCTAGTACCACCTGTTGAAATGATTGCTTGTTCTCCATGGAATTTCTCTTATTCCTTTTTCTGAAAACAATTGATAATATACAATTAGCTTTGGTAAATGCAATATATGTGATATTAAAAATCACTACACTATGAAATATCACATAGCAAAACCACAAGACTTAAGGGGAAAGTTGGTTTAGGTATATATAACATTCAAATATTTCATCAGTGACCCATAAAAAATGATAGGAACCTAGTAAAAACTGTTTTACCTATGCTAAATGGTTAAGAAATACATATGTACTACAATAAATACAAAAGTTTACTTTGAAAAAGACCTGGTGTTTCCTGTGGCAGTGGGCATGAGAAAGACTACAGCTATTAAATTACTATGAAGTGGTAGAAAATGGGTTATCTGAAATTGAAAAGAAAGTTGTACACTAAATGTTCATGGTGGTGGCTCATGGTGTGTAAAATAAACTGAAGTAGCTGGTAAATGTTTGAGGTGTGTGCATTTATACATTTTCATCTTCCTATTGACTCAGATCAGTATTTCTTGCTGACAAAACCATACATAAGAAAGCATGAAATCTGTGTTATGCTCAATTTTTTCCAATATATTAATCATATTGGAACAAACATGCATTTTTTAAATGAGTGTTATAGCAGAAGAGACTGTATATGTGAGTATATTCCTAGACATTATTCTTTTCCCTTGGTCTGTATGTTTAGACTTTCTCCAGTACCATGCTGTCTTTATTACTGTAGCTTTTACAATAAATTCTGAAATCAGATAATGTGAGTCCTTCATTGTTTTCCTTTCTTTTTCTGAAATTGTTTTGGCTATTCTATTACCTTTGCTGTTTCATATAAGTTAAAGCTTTTATGAAATCATATAAGAAGAATCTATATATACATATATATATATATATATATATATATATATATATGATATAACAAGAATCAGCTTGTTGATTTCTACAAAAGAAATCTTGCTGGGATTTTGATTGGAGTTCTGTAGATTAGTTTTGAGAGAGGAGACATCCTAACAGTGTTGAATCTTCCAATCTATGAACATAATATATCTATTTACTTAGTTCTACTTTTCATTCTTTCATAAACATTTCTACCTGTCAGCATACACATCTTGCATATATTTTGTTATATTATAGCTGTGTGTTTCATGTTTTTTGGTGGTATTATAAATGGTACTTTTTAATTTCAATTAAAAATTATTCATTGCTATCTACAGAAATAAGATTGTTTTTTGTATATTTGTGTTCATAACTCTTGAAGGCCTGAAACAAAAATAGAAGGTCACAAGAGCCATAACAAAAATTGCTTTTTAATACTTTAAAAAATGTTAGTTGCTGTCTTCTTAGTCTACTTTAAAACTTAATAACAGTCTTGATTTAATGATTGCTCCTTCAAAATTGTTTTATTCTAGTACAGATATGAGAACATGTATTTTGAGGATATTTGAGCAATCTTTAAATATTCTTAAAGCATACTATTATAAAATATAGGAATCTTTCCATAATTGGTCTTACAGGAGCTTGCTTAAGAGTAATTGTAGGCCAGCCATGAGTAGTTATAAAATCATGATTTTGTTTCTTTTGATATTTATTTTCTGAAGTTCTTCGGATATATTTTTTGTAATGTGGTTATTATAGATTTTGGACTCAGCAAGGAGTCAGTAGATCAAGAAAAGAAGGCTTACTCATTTTGTGGTACAGTAGAGTACATGGCTCCTGAAGTAGTGAATAGGAGAGGCCATTCCCAGAGTGCTGATTGGTGGTCATTTGGTGTACTTATGGTAAGTACCATTATTTTTCTTAATTATATCTGAAGAAATTTAGAATTGAATTAAAATTTTTAATTTAAATCAATTTCTTACATTGGGATATGTCTGCTAAGAAAACAGTTCTGTTAATTTATGATTATCATTTTAAAAACATGATTGGTTAGCTGCTATGCAATAAGAATCAAGATTTTTGTATTCTTTTTTTCTTTTTAAATTCCTAAGTGAAAATTAAGTGATGGGCTTATACAAGGAGCTCTGGTGGTGTAGTTGTTAAGGCATTTGGTTGCTAACCAGAGGGTCAGTGATGGAAACCCACCAGCTGCTCTGTGGACAAAAGATGGGGCAGTCTGCTTTCATAAAGATTTACAACCTTGGAAATCAAGAGGGGGTCACTATGAGTCAGAATGGCAGTGAGTTTGGGGTTTTTTGGGGTCTTATGTAGACTATTCATATTTGAAAATTGAAAAAGATCTATTAGATTATATATTTCAGAATACTTTAGCAGTTATATTTTACTTTGCTGTCACAGAATTTATCATCTTACCATACACTGTATTACTGTTACATTGTTTCAAGTATGCCCCATAGTAAACTGTAATTCTCCTGAAGACAGGGTTCATGCCTTATACTACATTTCATCTCCACAATACTTAGGATAGTGGGCATTTAGTAGATGGGTAATGAATATGGACTGACTAATTTGGCATGGGATTAAACATATACTTGGCAATAATATGTAGGATAATGAATGAATAGCTATTGAATCAGTTATAATTTATATTTGAAGTCTAATAATTCATTTTCTACACTTGTTACCAGATGACACATCGTATGGGAACTGATTACAAAGAAATGTAATATTTGGCATTTTCACTGACATAAGAATGCATATAATCTGGTTTTGGAAACAAATGAATAACTAAATAAATCATCTTGAAACACCTTAGCAGTTCAGGGAGGAATTCATATAAATTTGCATAGGAAAGGAAAGTTTCTTGGAGGAAATAGAATTGAACTTATGCCCTGAGACTGGATAAAATTTAAATAGATAATATGTCAAAAGGAGAGTATTGTAACTATATTAAAAATTTGGAGAAGTAGTTTGACTAGAGTAGTGAATAAGGGTGAAGGTGGAGAAAATGAGACTAAATGTATTTACATGTGATTCTCTGGATTAGTAGAAAAATTAGTACTATTGAAATTCTTAAATAAGATGGTGATTAGAGAAAAACTGTGTATTAGGAATATTAGCCTTGGCAACATTATATAAATGTATTGAAAATGTAATGAAGTGAGAAGCAAGAAACCAATAAATTCTCCTTGCAAGACAGTTATAAGATTATAGAATAAAATAGACGCAACCTTAATTAAAGCCATTTCAAAGAAAGAACTGACTGACCTTAGTAGTGGATTAAAATCCACAGATGAACCAGGAGGGAAAGGTAAAATACAAAGATACCTCTAAAGTTCTGGTAGCATAATGGCTAAGACACTTGCCTGCTAACCAGACGGCTGGCGGTTCAAACCCACCAGCC